ACCACGATATATATATGTCTATCTATGTGTGTATGTGTGCGCGTGTGTGTGTGTATATCTACATGTACGTGGGGAGCGGTCGTGTAGCGGTTAGCGCGCTGCACGACGAACCTGGCTAGCCGACTTCGATTTCCGCTCACGGCCAACACCGATGGCGATTATCTGAACCGGTCCTGGGGCCTCCCCTAGGTCGACTCGGCCTCAAAACGAGTACCTGGTGCGATGTGTAAACATCGCCAAGGGGGAGACAAAGGCGGCCGGGCGTGGTGTTGGCCACCCACCCCCTCGTGTGTCCGGGCCGGCCTTCGTAGGTGATCGCTAACAGCTCTTGCCCCAACAGTCTGTTACAGGCTATACGGGGGGGATCTTTGTGTATATATGTATATATATATTTGGGTTTTTATATATATATCTCACAGGTCAGTTTCTTTGCGGGAAACTTCACAGAACACCTTTTATTTTCAGACGACAGAGTTCATCCAACAGTACACGAGGAACTGCAGTGGTTGCCCTATGGACTGCGCGTGCAGTCCATTGGGATAGCCATCGACATCAAACGAAATCGACCGTAAAAAGCTCGCGACAGACACTCGGGCGACACAAACGCGTGAGACGTTGCGGACAGCACACCTGTGCGTTCAAAATTAAGAGTGGAAATGCTTCCACTGCCAATGCTTTACATCGATCGCGTGCTCTTCTGTGGATATACACTCACACGAATGTGTCTGTCTATGTGTCTGTCTTTCTGTGTCTACCTCTGCGTTAGTGTGTGTGTGTGTGTGTCTCTATGCATATGTGCGTATAAAGGTGCAGTGGTTAGCGCCCTGCGCTACGAACCCGGCGACCCGAGTTTGATTCCCGCTCACGGCCAACATCAGTGAGGAATATCTGAAAACCGGTCATGTTGCCTTACTACCCCCCCCCGCACACATTTCCCCGTGTGTGTGTGCGTGCGTGTGTGTGCGTGGGTGCTGCGCCTATCTGCGTATGCGTGGTGTGTGTGTGTGTGTGCGCACGTGCGTTGTGTCGACTCATTATTTAAATGGATACCTGGCGCGTCGCGTAAACGTCGGCACTGGGGGAGAAAAAGGCGGCCGGGCGTGGTGCTGACCTCCCCACCGCGACCCTCGTGTGCTGTGTTGGCCTTCATAGGTGCTCGCTAACAGCACTTGTCCCAACAGTCCCTCGAGACCAGAATGCGTCGAGAGAAACCGCACGTGCAGGAGGAGGAGGAGGAGGGATGGATGAGAAGGAGGTTTCAAGAGAAGGGATAACTGTGGCCGTGAACGCGAGACGAGCCACATCCGCCCCCCCCCCCCCCCCGCGCAGCTTCGCATCGAGGTCGAAGTGGCGTTGATTCATCTCAACGCGCGCGCCCAGCGCTCCCGTTCGTCACGGATATAATTGGGCAATCGTTGATCGATACCGCGTTCGCTATGATGCGGAGAAGGCGGTGAGCCCGTTAAGAAGTGAACAGCGAAGCGGATCTTCTCGGGACAATGAGACGGTGTGATTTAGGAAGCCCCCCCCCCACTTCCCTCTCACCCCCCCCTCACCCAACAAGAAACTTAATTTGGCAAAATATGGAAATTGGGGAAAGGTAAATCAATATGGTTGACAGTCTGTGCTTTGCACGTGGTTGATAAAAAAAAAACTTTACTTAATATTTCACCAAAATCTTGAAAATGTCTGTTCAAATTAATGTATCATCTGTCTGTTTCCACGTGTCTCTCTGATTGTCTATCTGTTTAGCTTTCCGGGCTCAGATTTGCCTCTTCAGCCATCTGCGCACTCACCGCACCCCAGACTCATCCAAACGAAACGTCGTCATGGTCATCATCAACCTTTGATCGAGGACGAAGGAAGGAAGGATCTGTTCAGCCCGTGTGTCCGTTTGCATATGTGCCTGCCTGTGTATTTGTGTGTGCGTTCGTACGTATGTTTTGGCTGTGTATGTGCCTGCATGTGTCCACCTGTGTGTCTGCGTATTTGTATGTATGTTGAACTTCTTTCGCACCGTGCGTAGCCAACCGTGTTAATCGGAGGTGCGTATGTCTGCCTGTCTGTCTATCTGTCTGTGTGCATGTGTGTACGCTGTCTGTCTGTGTGCATGTGTGTACGCTGTCTGTCTGTGTGCATGTGTGTACGCTGTCTGTCTGGCTGTGTACCTGCCTGTGTGCATGTGTGTCTGCTTGCCTCTGTGTCCGCTTGTGTGCCTGTACGCCTGTGCGTCCGTCTGAGAGTCTGTCAGAAGGATCTTGTCTAAATAAAAAAACACGTGTGAAATCATTGCACGCGTTACACAACACACTCAAATGAACATGAGAGTATATACTACACCTGCAGCATAGACTGTTCAGCGGAAAATGGACTGCCATTTGCGATGTAATACAATCTCTGATAGACTTCATACACGTGCATCCTTATACAGTCCACAGTTGGCATATCACACACACACAAACTGTGTTAAACATCTTCACGGTATGTTCGTTGTGTAATAGCGAGGTTCAATAATGCATTGCGGTATATCACACACTCACTGATAAGCGGGTGTAATGGGAAGAAAAAAATGCAAAAGAGATGGTTTATGATGAAGTGTCCCCTTATGATTATAATAATACCAACATAATAACACCAACAAGGAAATAATGTCAAAACCGGTTTATTTTAAATCGTAAAAATAAAATATTTGAAAAGATAACGCAACCTTACATCGGACGAGTGACAATAATCCGTACGTGAATGTTAAACTTCGCGTCGACCACGAGACAGTGGAAATACACAAAGCGCGTGTAACAATAAAGCTGTAAATTGTGCTTTAAAAACACACCCCACTCAAAATGAATTTAACAACATCCAATGGACACGCACAAATCACGAATCGACGCGTCTAATGACTTTAGTAGCGTAGTGTGTGAGACTCCGTTTGATCAAAAATATCGAAAAAGTTTGAACGCAAATTCTAATACGTGATTGCCAAGCATGCATTGCGCGTGTTCAAAAAGATGTATATATGAATGAATGAACGCATGTGTCGCATTGCACGCAGTGTGTGTATATGTGTTCATAAAGCACGTATACATAGTACACATATATACTGTGCCCTACAAAGACACACATTTAAATTGTACTGCTATTGCAATCAGCGCGAGATTAATCGCATGAAATCAGGTTATGGATTTTAAATAACTATCATCACCCTCGCGACAATAAATATAACAACCACGTAACTGACGCCAACCCCTCTTTACAAGGCGATATCCGCACGTGCGCTCAAGAGGCAGTCGGCATTCATTCAGGAGGAAGCCAAATGCGAAAGGCGCTTCGCGGGCTGTCGGCCGAGACATTTTGGTAACGCGTTTTGTTCTTAGTTTTTTTTTACGTCGCCTAAAGTTGGACGAACGTTTGCTACGAATCGAGCTCACGACACCCCCCCCCCCACCTCCACCCGCCTAAAGGCGCAGGGACGCGACTCTTCATCCCACTACGCTGAATTACTCCACAATGATCAATTTGCCCCGGAGTAATGAGCGTTCACGTTCTGTTCGCGTCTCCTTTGCGCGCCTGCATTGGCGCGTCTCAAACCACGAGCTAGGCCACAATATTTCCATTGGACACAATTGAAAAATATATGTACATAACATCAAAATAATATCGACAATGAATGCGCATTAAATGATTAGTTCTCCCTGTAAATCAACATCAGCATCTTCTTAAAACATACACGCGGGCAAACATGCATACATACATACATACGCGTAAACATAGCGCTTACATATTCAACGCGTTCCGTAATTTCACTCGGGGGTTGGGCTGCCCGAGTCTCGGATTGATCCGCGCGCGTCGTGTCGGGATGCGCCACGTGCCCGAGTCACAGAGCACGGGGCCCCTCGCGCGTACGGATAGCTGACGAACGACACCGCTGCTGTCAGTTGCGATATTCGTTTCAAATCGGGCTCTCAAAAGTGTTCCCGTTCCGTTTTTTACCACGCCGTTCTGTTTAAAGCGCGCTCGTGTGAATGCAGAGACGCTTTCTTGCACACTCGTCCGTGTGGTTTTATTTGTAAAGTTCATATGAGCGGTGCCCATTCTTGGTATCCATGCGAGAGAGAGAGGGGCGGCGACAGTGAACGGCTAACGCCAAATGTGTTCACGGGTTAAGACAACAACAGCAGCAGCAGTAGTAGTATCTCTACGCGTAACGACACCGAGGCGGCAATCGTAGGGAGAAGTCGGGGGGGGGGGGGGGGCACGAGACGGCGAGACGTCACAAGAGTACAATTCAGAGGTGCAACAGAGGAACGGTCAACGAACGCCGCTATTGTACGCGCGAGCGGCAAGCGGAGATGTGAAATGCGCAAAAAAAAACCCAATAACAAACAAAAAAACAACCCAAAGAATTAAAAGAAACCCGCACATACACAACACGAGGTGCTGCTACGCGCGCCGCTGGGACGTACGCAGGTGAACGAACAGGCGCCGCTGGCAGGCAGAACACGTGCACGGGTACATACGTTCAGAGAGAAGTTTTTTTTGGTCTTTACGCAAGACTTTTTTTAACGCAAGACTTGTTATAATTGAGCCCGCCGGGACGAGGCTTGTTCCCGCGGGTCCTATGAACCATCCGAACGCTTCCCGCGGCCAGGAGACTCGCCGGCCCCTTCAGCAGGAAGAGCGAGAACGTTGACTTCAGACGGGGGGGGGGGGAGGGTGTGTGTGTGCGTGTGTGGAAAGTGTGGGGAGCTGGGAGGGGGGGAGGAGTTGTGGAGGGGCGGGGGAGAGGGGAGGGGGTGAGGAGGCTTGGGGGAGGAGAGAGAGACAAAAATAAATAAATAAAATAAAAATAAAATAAAACTCCTTTTCCCTCCTTCCAAGATGTTCGAACGCCGATTTGACAGCTCCAATCAAGGCAGCTCCGCGGTCGCGAGTGCGGTGGCAGGCGGTGGCGGTGGTGGTGGTGGAGGAGGAGGAGGAGGAAAGGAGGGGAGGAGGAGAGGAGGAGAGAGGGGAGAGAGGGGAGGGGCGGCCACGGGGGGGTGACACGAGGCGTGTGCGCCTGCGCAAAGGTGTCCCTGCACTGACAATGCTCTTCCGAAGATAGCGTCGGCGGAATCTCAATCAAACCGACCTCTCCGTCGGCACGATGCGCTCCAAGGGACGGGCCCGCAAACTCGCCAAAAGTAAGTGCGCGGCGCGCTTTCCGAGCGAGGCGCTTGCAGACGATACTCACTTCACACTCACTCACCCTCGCCGCCTCCTCCTCCTCCTCGTCGTCTTCATTAGCGCGGCTGCGCTCCGCTCTTGACCAAAAAGAAAAAAAAAGTCGCAGGCTCTTATACAGTTTGGCGTGTAAGCGTGCGCCCGGGGGGCTACCTACGGTGAAGTTCCTCGAGCACAAAACGCAGTTGGGGCCGGCACGCACTCGGCCAGCCCAGGCGGGCAAGAGACGCGAGACGCGAGACGCGCAGCAGCAGCAGCGGAGGCTTTGGGCTCCATGCCCTTGGCGCTGGGAGGGCGCGGCGTCGGTCTCAATCCGCAGCCAGAGCAGAGACCGCACGGCAGCGCTCACTCGAGGCGCTGCGACCAAGAGGGGAGAGAAAGGGGGGGGGGAGGTGTTGAGAAGAGAGACCGTGGCGCGGCTCGGCACGACGTTCCCTCGCCGGCCGGGCTAGTCCGCCGAGGCGTCGCTTCGAAGTTGCTAAAGTTTACGAGGAAGCAGGGAAACTTTTTTCCCCTTCTTCTTGTCCACCGCTCTCTCTCTCTCTCTCCCTGCTGCTGTTTTGCGTGCGCACGCGGCTCTGGGTCTCAAGCCGCCTCCTCCTCGCCGCCGTCGCCGCCGCCGTCGCCGCTCGCTTCGCGTGTAGTGGGCGCTCTCGTACCGCTCACCGAGCGCGCGGGGAGAACGGGACCCCCCCTCCTCCTCCTCCCCTGTCGGCCGCGCGTTCCACTCGCTGTGCGCGGTTCGCTCGTTCACGTTCACCTCGACTTGGGAGAGGTGGCAGGCGGGAGGGGGGGGGGGGCGAGAGGTAGCAGCGCTGCCGTTAGGCCCTGGGGCCCGCTTCCACGCAGAGGCGGTGCGGCCACGGTTCAAGGGGCCCGGTTTAGCGGCGACGGGGAGAGACGCTCGGGAGGCCGCGAGCGGCGATTTTGTTGCGTGGCGCGGCGTCGCGATGGATCTGACGCCGCGCGTACTTCTCACGCGGTCTCTCCTCCTCGTTCGTTTGTTTGCATGCATGCATGGACAAGCACGGTAATGTTTACTCGTGTCGTATAGTTGTAGGATCGTTGTTGTAGACACAGACAGTCAAGATATAACCGTAACAAAAAAAAAAACAACGCGTACACGCCGTGCTAACATATAATTGGACGTGGTGCGAGTGGGGCAAGCTCCTACTTGGAGTTCGTGGTTTGAAATAAATGCTGCGACTTCAACTTAGCGACGGCGTAGCAGCCGTGTTAGGAACTTTTTTTCTTTCTTTTAAAAACGTGCAGACGCTCGCATCGGTTCGTAAAAGAACTTCCCAGAGGGAGCGAGAGAGAGAGACAGGCGCAGCCAAGGCGGTTTTTCCTAAAGTTTAGTCGCTCGATATCTATGATTCTTATTGTTGTTGTTTGCAACGTTCCACTCCGTTCTCTGCGGCTTGGCGTGTCTACGAAAGCGGTGCGATTTGCGTTCAGAGTTCACCGCAAGCACCGCCGCTTACCAAGAACATCTTCTCTGAGTACTGTAAACAAAAAAAAACAAAATCCGTGTCTTAAATTGAGCGCTTGCAGACACGTCGCTCATGCCGCTAATGTTAATTAAACCACCGCTGTCGGCACTTGTACGTATTTTGCCTGAATTTTTCTGTTGTGTGTTTATGTATTTGTTTGTTACACGGCCTACGAGAGAATTTCGCCGGTCACCGTTCCGGCTTAACTGTGCGGTTATTGCCGTGAACGGTGATATTAAGTTTATATTTAAGCTGCAATGATATTAAACATCGTGACTCACACATACAGCCTATCCTACCTCACCCTAACACGCTGTTTCTTATTCGCCAGTAACAATGCGTGGCCTTAAAAATAAATGGTATATAAACCGGAGACGTTTCGGGCAATATCCCTTCTTCACAGCACACAGACAGAGAGAGAGAGTGGAAAGGTATTAGACTCTCTCTGGCGTCTATGTAGAGTCCCGATAGAGTTGATCTACTTCTGTGCTCCGAAGAAAGGGCCATTGCTCGAAACGTCGCCAACTACACCCACTTTGTTTTATTGAGGCCGCGGTGTTATCGACGCGTATTTATTAGAGTTCGTTGCCGCGTATTATTTGCGCTCGTGAACCATTGGCAACGCAATAGGAGCGGTATCATCCGAATCATCTTCCTGTTTCATACGCACGCGTTGCCTACACGTTGTTCAGCGCTTATACGCGTGTGGTGTTTGCGCGCGTGCACGCCTGTGTATTCCATTACCGCCAACTATTAAACGACGCGGGAACCGTCGTCACAATTTCAGTGAAATCAATAAAATGTAATTGCTCACGCAGACAAACGTCAGCGAGACGAGAGGTCGGCCGTAGAACCGACAACACGGGGACTCCGAATTGCGCGCGCACGAAATTCAAGTCTACGGCAGGATGGGGGAAACAGACATTACGTCCGGGAATTGAGTTCTATCATATAGCGCAACTGTCTGTAGAGAACTATTGTATGAGTAGTGGCTTAAAAAAAAATAGATTTATTATTTATACACGAGTGTAATTATATAACCAGAGTCGTTAAACTTCGACAGTCGATGCAATTAACGCGACGATCGTTTTTGCCAGCGTCATCACGCCACTCGCGATTTGCTATGGTCCTCAGTGCACGGCCAATTGTCAATCCACTGCTGGATGGAATCCTGACCACGCCAGCGCGCTCGTTATGGGCAGTTCGTTTGTTCATACTTCACCGCGCCGGTTAAGTGCGGGCTCGCACAGGCGGGGTAGGTGATGGGTTTCAGATGTCACCTCGACGTGACCGGGGCCTCGAAGTTAACGGGGAACCCGCGTTCGGAGTGCGCGGCTCGAACCACTTCGCCACCGCTTCACTCCTCCACCTTATCGATCACCATTCATTACACCGCGAGCGCTAATTTAATTCCACCGCGCAACTGTTATTCGCACGTGCGTGTGATATAGTAGTTCACTTATGCGCGCGTCCATTGCAAAAAGAAAACACACAACTTTAACATCTCCGTCTAAATCTGCGTTTGCATGCTGTCTCTGAGCGTGTCCGTGCGTGCGTTTGCACATACAGTATTATATTGACGATATAGTACACTCAATGGGTGTCTCCCCTGTACATGTGCCACTGACACTGAACCCGAGTTAAATTCCCGGCCACGGGTAACAATCGTCGGCGAGTGACAGCGGAGAACCCGTCCACGGGCCTTACTCTCTCGTACATCGACTCGGTCTTACGAGTAAAGTCTCAAGATGACTGACGCTCGTGCGATCATGTGGACGCGCTCGCAGCGGGGAGGACTGGAATCTTGTCTGGTTGTATACGTCTGTAAAAATGTGTAAGTGAGCATTGTATAAACACGCGGGGGTGTGAGTGGTATTGTGCACCTGCAAGCAACGCAATCTGTAGCGCGTGTTTGTGTAGCTTTGATAAGCGGCTTCATAAAACTACCTGTGGAACGGTGCGAGCAGTGAAGCGATGAAGCGATGCGAGTGGGGGTTATATTTATATTTTTAAATATATTTGTCCGTAGAATGCGGCTCGTAGCACCTCGCGTTTGACGTTTTACAAGTGTTGTTTTACCGGGCATTGTGCAAAGGCGTGCGTCTATCTGTGTGCGTGAGTTTGTGTGGGGCGCAGTAGTTCAGCCGCTGTGCTACGAACCCGGCTATGACCCGAGTTCGACTCCCGCTCACGGCCACCAAAAAACCCAGTGATGATTGTCTGAAGCGGTCATGGGGCCTCCCCTAGGTGGACTCGGACTGAAATGAGTAGCTGGTGCTCGGTGGGGAGACAAAGGCGGCCGGGCGTGGTGTTGGCCACCCCAACCCCCTCGTGTGCCGTGCCGGCCTTCATAGGTGCTACTCGCTAACAGCACTTGCCCCAACAGTCTGTTACAGGCCATACGAGGGATCTTTGTCTTCATATGCGTATGTGTGTACGTGTGTTTGTATGTCTTTGTATGTTTGTTTATATAGATACACATATATTGTGGGTAACGGTAGCGTACAGCGGTTAGCGCGCTGCGCTACAATACCGAGCGGCGACCTGAGTTCGATTCCCGCTCACGGCCACCAACGCACCCAGTGACGATGATCTGGACCGGTCCTGGGCCTCCCCCTAGGTCGACTCAGACTCAAATGAGTACCTGGAGCGGCGCGTAAACATCAGCACTCGGGAGACAAAGGCGTCCGGGCGCGGTGATGGCCATCCACCACCTTCGTCTGCCGTATTGGCCTCTTACGTGCTCGCTGACAGCACTTGCCCCAACATTCTGTTCAAGGTTATATGGGGGAATCCTTGTCTTTGTATGTATCCGTGTGTATCTGCATCTATGTGTATGTATGTATGTATCTGTCTTATGTATATGAATCTGTGTGCACGTGTGCGTGCGTGTAGATGTATGTGTGTATGTCAAAAGCGCAGCGCTTCGCGCACTGTGCTACGATCCCGGGTCCCGAGTTCGATCCCCGGCAACAGCTAACATAATTGGCGAGTGATATCAGGACGCGTCTTGGCCCTCCCCTAGGTTGACTCGGCGTAAAATAAGAATCGAAGGGCGTTGTGAAAACTCTTAACACATTGGGGGGGGGGGGCGGGAGACAAAGACGACCGGGCGTGGTATTTACTACAGACAACCCCGTCGGGTATTGTGTCGGCCCTTAATAGGCGCTCGCTGATAACGACGCTTACCCTGCCATATCAACATTATGTAAAAGGCTTCACGGGGGGCTGGGGAGGGGTCTTTGTCTGTTGTTGTGTGATCGTGCGCGCGCGCGCTTGTGTGTGTATAGATATACATAGCCGGGTTTGTCGGTAAAGTTTAGCCACTAAATTGAAACTCTCACGCGTATGTATGGGGCGCCAGATCGTTGCCATTACCATACCGAACGTTGCTAGCAAATGGAAAACAGGTTGTACAATTTGTGTGTACGTATGTGCGTGCGTATGTGTGTGTGTGTGCTCTGCGC